GTGTGACGTCAGAAAATTATTTTAAAAATATGGGGATGTTTGTGAGATTGAGTAGATCACGTTGGTGTATTCACACACCCCATTTGAGCATTGTATGAGAAGTTATTACCTAATTTTGATTATGTACTTTAAATTAACGTTTTTATAGTTGTTTCGCATATAGGTGAGACCTATCCCGAGGACGAGCGTAGTCACTCGAGGCAAGGGGGTTACGACCATCCATATACCAATGAGTGGGCTTTTGGTTTTCCATATATACCCCTATACTCGTGGTTTTTCCCAGAAAATGATATGGAATGTTTATATATTTTAAATGTCATGCATTACGTTGCCTATTTATTTATGCATTAGTAGTTGTATATATGTACGTTGGTGCTACAGACGCACAGGTAAGTGCCAGGTAAGTTTATGGTTTATGATTGTGAATTAGTGGTTATGTGAGATGCATTGAGAGCTCATAACTTGCACCCCTAGTGTTAGTGCTCCCGCCCAGAGTAGGGCACAGTCCTTCACGTGATGTTCACCTCTCGCACCACACGCTCATCTTGGATCCAAGTTAGGTGCACAGTCTTGTTGTACAGACCACTATAGGTGGTTCCGACTCGTAGGTGAACAGCGATTATTCGCACAGTCTTCACGTGATCGTAGTACTTGAGCGTATTTATTTACACCCAATCCTGTCGTACAGACCACTTTAGGTGGTTTCGACTCGTGTGCAGGTATCGTTAGTGAGTTGGGGATTTGAGCTCTAGATTCAGCCGTACAGGTCACGTTAGGTGACTCCGACTGACATATTACATTGCATTGATTGACATTACCTGGGTTACTTACAGTTTATGTAGAGGCATTCAACATGGCATTTTTTGAGCATGTTTTTGATATATGTGTATATTCTATTTTCTGGGAAACAATACAGGTTTTACGGTGATGGGTTAGAACTTTTGTTAATGAAATGATTTTGAAAAGCTTTGTTTTTGCCCACTCACACTTTCTGTTTTGTGCCCTTCCAGGTTCTAGTTTGGGTTGCTCTTTTGGTGGCTTACGAGGAATCCACGACATATCTGATAGATTATCACCAGTGTAGGACCACTTCTGGGTGTGTTTAGCTAGTGTTTGTTCCTCTGGACTGCATTAGGTTTTCTGTGCACTGAGTATTGTTTTTCACGCTTACGCTTGCACATGTTTGTTAGCTACTCTGTGTGTAGTTTGATTTTGATTTATTCGTACTTTTATTATTATTCTTAGCTTACGCACTGTGCACATGGTTACGTCACCCTCACGTGACGGCCAGCATGCCCTGATTTTGGTCGGGGTGTGTCATTAGTCCTTGAGATTGAAAATCAATAGAAATGGTCACTGAGATTGTCCACCGTTAATTATTTTGGTCCTTAAGTTAAAAACTCCATTAAGTGTCCTAGAGCTCTTGGCCGAAAGTTTGGGCAATTTTCAAAACCTCGTAACTCAATCGTTTCTGTACCAAATTCGATCCATAATATATCAAAATGAAGATAGGAAAGTGTAGAACAAGATTATACCTATTTAGAAGCCTAAAGGTTGCCGGAGATCACCGTAAAATAGCCTGAAATGTGACTGGTCCGTAGGAAAACTTGAAAAACTCGCCGGAAACTGGGTAAACTTTAAACGTTCATAACTACTTCAATACTCAACGAAATCGAGTGATTTAAAAATAAAAATCATACTTCTCGACGAGATGAAGAGAATGGTACCTTTTTTGATGGCTAAATTGCCTCGTTTTGGCCGAAAACAGCTCGAAAGTGGTTTTCTTGGTCTCGAGTTAGCCACTTTTGAGCCGTTTTTCAGCTAAACCACGGAGAATTAACAATCAAGAAACTTACCATTCTCTTTTTCTTGTTGAAAATTATGATTTTACTTTTTGAATCACTCAATTTCGTTGAGTATTGAAGAAGTTATGAACGTTTAAAGTTTACCCAGTTTCCGGGGAGTTTTCTAGTTTTTCCGCAGACCAGTCACCTTTCAGACTATTTTCTAGCCAACTCCGGCAATCATTGGGCTTCCAAATAGGTAAATCTTGTTCTACACTTTTCTATCTTCATTTTGATATATTATGGGTCAAATTTGGTTAAGAAACGATTGAGTTACAAAGCTTTGAAAGTTACCCAAACTTCCGGCCAAGAGCTTCGGGACACTTAACGGAGTTTTTAACTGAATGACCAGAATAATAGATGGTGGACAATCTTAAGAACCATTTCTATTGATTTTCAATCTTAGAGACCAAAATGATGTGTTATGCAAATCTCTGAGATCATTTTGGTTAAAAAGCTTTTTTCCAACACAAAGTTTGAACTCATTCTTGTTGAGTCTTCTGCAGGTACGAACTAATATTGATTAGGGTTAACTTCTGATAGACGTTCTAATTCATAGAGCGTGGTTAATGGCTTTACTAATTTCGATAGTGCTTAGGGTGTCTATGCAATGCTTTATGTGGTGTCAGAGTCAGTCAATCAAAACTTTAAACTCGTTTAAAGATCAGAATCATATTGTTTAAATGTTGCTGCATTTATTTTCGATAATTTTGTTCGTTTTGTTTTTTTTACATTTATTCGGTGATTATTCTATACAAATCTAGATTCATATTAACTCTCAGTTCTTTTCGTCTGGTCAAAATTATCTTGATAACTGGACAATGAGTTCTGGCTAGTCATCAAGATAATGAATTGGTTGTTTGTTGAAATGAATAAAAATGGAAACCTAATTTTGTTTTGTCGAAATCGACTAATGAATGAGTTATTTACCTATAACTTAAATGACTGATTTTTTTATTCCTCTCTGGATTGTTTAAATGAATTATCAAAGTAGTTTATTTATTCTTTTCCTCCAAAAGTCTCTCATGAAATCCGTTTGTAGTTTATATACATAAATAGGTATATTTATTTCCAAAAAAAAATTTGTCTATTGGGTTCATTATAAACTAATGTATACTGACATGATTGAGATGAAATTCTGTAAAAAGTTATTGCCTAAAGATGTCCTTTTCTGCTTATTCTTGCGTTGTACACTTGGCTATGCAAAGACTTGTAATTTATTCATATATATATATATATAGTTGCTCAAAGGTGTGACTGGTTATATAACTTTAGTGTGACAATGTAGCTATTATTCTCTTAATTTTCACAAACTTGTGGATTTGCAAATCATGTTGTACATCTACTCAATCTCATTAATATTGAAAAGTTGGATGAGGACAATTTCAAAACTTGGAAGCGGCAAATCGAGATGCATTTGGGCATGTTGGAGTTTCATATTACCTTCAAACAGCCACAACCTTCAGGATCTGAATACTGATAGCAATAGTCAACAGCGAAAGGAATTTGTCAAATGGCATAGAGCAAATCAAACGTCGCTTTTGATCATGCAAAATGCTATGGAGGATCACATAAGAGTTGGCATTCCAAGCTGCGGTGTGGCAAATGAGTTTATGGTGAAAATTGAAGAAAAGTGCAAGAGGTCAAATAACGTCGAGACTGGTGTCTGCCTATCAGAACTCATCCATGCCAAGCATGATGACATTGGAAGTGTTTGTTAGAATTCCTCTGTTCCACATCGGCCACAGAGCTTAAGAATAAGCCCTTTAAATAGAATTACCTCACTCTAACTAACACCGAAGCTTTTTGTATTAAAACCTCACACCTGACGGATTGAGCAAGTGGCCAAGTGGGAATAGTATCGATGTTGTTGGAGTGGGCCCATGGCTCATCTACCTAAAATTTAAGAGTGTTAGATTGCATTTCCTCAAGTTGGTTAACCTTGTCAACAACCTCAATGCTATGAGTAGTTACGAGTGAGCTAAAACACTCAAAATGAGACTTGGAGTGTTAATGAACTCATTTCCATTTGTTGCCAAGAGGAGGAGGTGATGAAGAAGTAAAAAAAGTGAGAGTGAATCTCGTTCAGATATTCAAAACTCAGAAAAAGGTTGCTGATATTCAAAACTCAGAAAAGTGGAAGCCAAAACAAAGAATTTCAAGTCCGGTTGAACTTCTGGAACCAAGAAGAATGCAAACAGTTCTGCCAAACGTAATAAGGGTAATGTTGCCACCACTAGTTCTGACCTTAAACCTAACAAGCCTCACTTTAAAAGATGTTTTCATTGCAATTATTCTGAGCACTTGAGGATGGATTGTGAGGGTTTAAAAGCACGGCTCAGGAAGAAAGGTATTAAGTTAATAGATAAAAATAGTATGAGAGAATGATTTGGTTACGATTGCATCAACTAATTATGATGTGCAAGTTGGAGAACTGGTTGTCGAGTTCAAACGTTTGAATCTCCAAATTCTGCACACGTGAACTCTAATTTTTATTTTATTTTTAGCAGATTGAAAGACATCCAAATTGCAGATTGGAACAATGTTCATTGTGCTAAAAATCTGAAAGTAAAATGGTATTGTTAGTAAACAAATGTGTAACATTATGTAATTTGTTGTCAAATATATAAAAAAATTTAACAATGCTTGTGTAAAGTTCAACCTGCCATAAAATTTTGAAGAATATCTTTATACATGATGCTTATATTTATTTAGTATTTCTTTATTATTGTCTATTAGGATTTTGTGGCCTTATCTGTAACTCTTGATAATGTAGAGTGAATACATGTTAGGAAAGATATAATCCAACTTGTTTCAAATATTGTCTGTGAATTTTATTTATTGTCATGATATAACATGGCCTAATTGAAAATTGACGTCTTTTAAAAATAAAAAGTCATTTGTGTCATGTCGTTGAAAGAATGATTCTAGGGATAAATACTTTATAACTAATGTTGTTAAAAATAAATGTATTACGTATTTATGTTACAGTAGAATTTCTAGGCGAAACAATAGCTCGTTCTCTTAAACACGCAAAATTGGAAATCTTTTCATCAAAATTTGCGTCTGTTGCTCAAAAAATTCTCAACAGTATCATTGAATGATTCAATAATCATATTTCTTGGAGGCTCCTAATTGAACCGAAAGAAGAGGAAAGAATAAAAGGGCAACTTCTTCATTCATGTAAGAAATAGGAGCGCACAAATGTCCATCAAGCATTTCCACTGATTCCACACTAACATAAGCTCTAAATCAGAAAGAAATCAAACACAAAAATGCGGTTGAATACACGATGAGGCGGGGGCAGACACAAACATCTTCAGTACTGCCGATAAATCAAAGAACCGATTTACTCATGTCCAGTTGGTTCATAAAAATTCTGGCTCCCACATCACATTTCCTTGCCGTCATCTTCTAATCCGGCTTTCTTCAGCGCTTTCAGCTTTCTGTAACCTGTATCAGTTCCAAATAACCTGAAAAGTATAGTAGAAAGAGATGGTTAGCGTACTTTCAGCTGCATTATGGCATCTGTTGGTTTAATTTGTGATATAAAACATGACTGATCATTTGGGTTAAAACCAGTCATAGTTCCAGAGTCTGGAAGCATCACTGGTCTCAATGTTTAAACGTTGGTAAGACTTTGAGCCAACAAGATCCATCCACACAAATATGTACAACGAAAAAGAAATCGAGAGCCAGTTCATCTTGTAATATAAAACATTTTTAAAGCAAACCACTGACGGTATATTAGGAAAGTGCAAAATACAAGTATGCAACAGAGCTTGTCAGTCATAACAATAACATTCTTAAAATGAACAAAATTTGGTTTCTTGTTAGATTAGTAACACTTATCCTTGTTAAAATACTTATTTAAACTATTGAACAATCAGATGTAAAAGAAAAGGTAACGAAATTCCTTCGTAACTGATCCATCTCCTTTTCACTAATTAGTTCAGAGACACTTAAGCAGCACATGGTAAAACTTTACCTGTCCATGTAAACAAAAGTTGATGAATAATTGCCAGACTTGGTGTAAAGCAAACGGTGATGGTAGTCGTGAAAATCAGCGCTGTACGATGAAAGCAGAAACATTTTCAGCTTCAAATGACCAAACAGAGAAAAATACATTGTATTCACGTTGCTAAAAATGACCAAGCCGTGAAAAAGCACACTCACCCTCCATACAAAGGTAAAAAGTTTGAGAGGCTCCATGGGAAATGGTAACCACAATGTGCCTCGACAGTCTCCAGCACTCTAAGTACCATCCATAACCACAGAGTAATTAGGTGGGGCCCAGTAATGGCAGGACCAATAATGGTGGCAAAGCCAAGGAATAATATCTCGGCTGGGTGAGCATATTCAGAAGTCAGTCCAAATGGTGTAGCATACCTGCAAAGATTCAACTCATAAATAACACCATTCAAAACTCTTAGCACTGAGTAAGCAAAGATTCAACTCATAAATAACACCATTCAAAACTCTTAGCACTGAGTAAGTTACTTATAACTCTCACTTACTCATGATGGATACTGTGCACATGCTTGTACAGCCATTTTGTATGCAGAACCCTATGTCCCCAATAGAATACAAAATCCTCGAGGATGAAGTAGAAAATGATCTGAGTGGAAACAACTTTCCTGCCAAACCAAATGCAGAATTACGGAACTAAGCATTTTAAAAGTCTAAATTGTTCAGAAACGGAAAAGTTTAGGGTCTTTGTTAATTCTAAATGGGTCATATGATAATGGCATCAAACTCCATGATGTCTGAGAAAATATGCTCTAGCATATAAAGAACCTGAAAATACCAGGACGGCAATGGAAGACTACTCCGCATGCCCATGAATTTGAAGACAGGATATGAAGCAATCATAACTGGCAGATTGACACAAAGATGATACAGGACTAGGCGAGTAATACATTTCTCCTGGGCTGCAGGGCTGTTATTTTTTGTCTGCACAAAACTAGAATAAAGTCATGGCACTATTTTGATAAGATTTTATTGAAACGCCATGGGGACAGAACCTTCGTACACTAGCTGTATGAATGGAAGATAACAAAGAAACATTACAGAGAAGGAAAACTATTATGAATATGCAAAATTAGTAGCAATAGCCTATCTAGTTCATTCAAACATCTTTCTCAACATATGTGCCATTACCTCCACTAGAGAACATGAGCTCCTCCACTCCACCACAAAGACAAAACACACATAACTTTTATTTTTCTTCGTGGCAATTCGACTATTTGAACCCAATAGCTCACTCACCAAACTAGCTATAAACTGAGTCACCCCAATCAAAGAAAGAGATAGGCCATTATACCCCACCCATAGACCACTGTAAGCTAAATGCCTAAAACAAAATATATACAATGCCTCCCCTTCCACCTTCTAAAAATTACACCTGTTAACCATAATCGTTTCTCTTAATCACAGATTCACATATATAAAATGTCAATATTTTCTTAAGACCTGCACCCTTTGTATAAAGGGCTACCTTTAGAGCATCACTTGCCCCCTAAGCCCTTCCCCAAAGAGACAAAAGCTGAGACAGCCGCAATAAGGCCCAGTAAGAAGCTTTGGTCTCATACTTCTTCCTACAACATAAACTCCACCCAATTACGCTGTTCCATCACCTTCAATTCTAACCTCACGCAACCCCAACCATCCCCAATCATTTAGACTTCAGCTAAAATTACAGTTCAGACCACATTTGCCCCTACAATCTCCAAATAATTGCAAACTAAATACTTCCTTAAGGAAGCTATATTAAACAGAGCTGGAAAAACATGTCCTACAAATGCCACTAGCCAGATGAATCTTAGAGAAAAGGAAAGAAATTTCATCTTCTAAAGAATCATATCTAAGAGCTCAGTGAAGAGAGATGAACCTGAATCTTGTACTTGCTCAGCCATCCTGCCCTCTCAAGATATATAAAAGGGAGTCCAGATAAGAAGAAAACACTTTCATGGAGAAAGAAACTTCCTAGACATGCCAGTTGAAAGTCGTTGAAATTTGTGATCAGATACTGCACAGTCAAAATAGAAGAATCTCAAAAAAGTACGAAAATATCAGATACCAGTAGAGACCATTAGGTGCATGAAGTAGGAAAATTCATCATCGCAGACCACAGGAGCTGCTCACGAGAAATCAGTTACATTTTCCTTTCATTTGGGAACGCTTATAGTTTTCATGCGCACAACCTAGACTCAGTTCCCAATCCATGTGTTCGGTAGCCCAATATATACTACAAAAACTAATGAAGTTTGAACTTGCATGACATACAGGTTGGACGATTTTTAGGACCGTCTACCTAAAATGTATCAGCGCCTATGAAAAAAAAAAGTTTATTTCTCAATCCCCCCACACACACACACAAAAAAAAAAAAACAAAAAACAAAACAAAACCACCACCAACCACAGGAAAGGAAAAAAAAAAAAAAAAAAGAAGGATTAACAGAACTTTCTGAGTCAGATCTCAATAGCAGCTAATTACAAGATCAATCAGATACAGAAACAGAGTCTCCTTTTGAATTCTCTGCCCATGTATCAGTTCTCTGTCCACATACCTCCAGGTACAGTAAGTTCTCTGTCCGCTTCAATCTGTATTACTTCACATCCAAGCATCATGGGCTAACACTGTTTGACCACAAACTACGTGAAACTCACTTATGTTTGAAGGAACATAATCCTAACAATTTAACAAAGCGCCTCCAAATCGACCGCAGCATTAATCTTGAACATCTAATGCTTCCCTAATGTCACTATAACGGAAAAAGGACAGAAATTGACCACTGAAAGAGAACCAAAAACCAAATAACCCCGCCACCATGAAAACAGTAACGACAATCAAATGCACTAGGCACATCAAATCATTGCGTTATCGCACAAACAAATAATAACACTTGAATCTAATTACATTGCTTCGAATATATGATCACAATGTTTGACCACAAATTACACCAACCCGCTTCTTTGCGAAGAAACATAATCTTAATAAAATATCTCCAAAATCCTCACCAAAAATCAACTTTCAACACCTAATACTGCCCCACTATCCCTAATCTATATTCCTCAAAAGAAATCCAAAAAAGAACAACCCAGCTATCTCATTACTAAATTCAATAACCACAATACTCAAATGCACCATACAGATCAAATCATTACACCAATCACACCCAAAAAAAAAAAAACCTATCACACCAATCATAATCCACATGCCAGCATTATCACCAAATTCACACACACGGGTAAAAACAAACACAGCAATTCCAATTCAAAAGCAACCAATGCCCAACAAAAAGATCAAATCTTGGTCCAAAAAACAAATAAATAAATAAACCCCAAGTGAAATCTTTGAGCTATAAAACCAAAAGGGTTGTTAGAAAAAGTACCCTCCAGCCAGATTCAACAATGGAAGCCATGGAAAAGCAGCTTCTGGGGGGCAGAAGAAGCAGATATCTGAGAACCCAAGAAATGCAGAGGAAGAAGAAAAAGGAGAGTTACAAGAAGCAGCCCACAGGCGAGATGAGACAGACTGTCTCTCGCAAATATGAATCTGGAGAGCTCTTTGTATATTTGGGCCCTGTTGGATTTATATACGATAACCTTAGCTGAGCTGACGAGCGGAGTTCAGAGTGCGCACGTCTAATCTGCCACTTATTTTATTTTATTATTATTATTATTATTATTTTTTATAAATTTATTTTTTGAAAACAACGTCTATCTGCCACTTTGGAGTTTTGCTCCTCCTCTGATTCTTTCTGTGGTTTACCCAATTTACCCTCTTTGCATCTCTTTGCATATGAAAATTTTGAATTTTTAATATTTACCCATTAAGACAACTTAGTACTATTGTAAATGAGAGATCTTAAGTTCGATTTTTACTAAAGGAAAATTTGAACTATATTATTGCTAGTTTATTGTGAAGCTAAACACACCACCTTCTCTTAGTGTAGATATATATTACCCATTGAGGAGTTAATTTTTAATTGGGGAAGAATCACTTGGCTTGCAGTAATTAGTGGCGGTAAGGCAGCTTCGCCAAATTTCATATAATTCTGCCACTTATCTCTTAGTCAATCAACTTAAATTAACTTGCTTTAAATAATCAAATTTAATTTTTATTGTATAAATTTTTTTGCTAATTTATCTTATTCGTTGGTTTATTTTTATGTACTTTATTTGATCTAACCATCAGAAATAAGTATAGCGTGTGAATGTGGAGAACAAATGTGTGTTGAAATCAAGATTCTAAAAGATGTTAAGCACTAATCGGGCGGTGAACTGAGGCTTAGCGCCTAGGCGGATTTAAGTAAACTTATTATATATCATATAAAAATAAAATTCTATTAGAATGCATAAATTAAAATAGAATGACATATAAATTACAAAGTAATAAACATAATAAAAACATGGGGAAATATAATATGATAAGTGTTTATCCAAGTATTCAACAAGTCTCTTATAATTTATATAAAAAAAAAAAAAAAAAGCCAAATGAAAGTGATGTATTTTTTGTCTAAATGAGAGTCAAGATCTAAGTGGGTGCCTATGCATGTCTAGGTAGCCGCCTAAACAAGTCTAGACGTCTATTCTTAATTTTTAAATGTGTAGGGGTTAATCGATACGGTGACTGAAATTAACTCTCTAAGATTTTAAGTTCGACAAACGTCTAGTAGTTCATCAGTACAGATGTTAAAAAAGTATTTAAGTTCGAATTTTCTACTTTGTTGATGCCAAAAAATATTTATTCAAAATTTATAATTTGTGAAAAAAAATATGTTTATGAACCGATTAAGTCATCTGTATAAAATACATGAATAATTGACAAGAGAAATTGAACTTTTCACTAAAAGAAGAACAAAGGGAGGGTACCAAGGTGATGGTATCCACGCACTTCTTTTTATATTTCTCACCATTTCTTATTAATTTGTATTATTTGATCATTTTCAATTCATTCCACCTGACGACCGAAAAGTTAAAAAAGTGTGTAGAAGCCTAGAAGATAAAAAGAAGTATGTGGATAGTACCGCCATGAAGAAATTGAAACTTTAGATTATAGGTCCATATTTTGCATAATGACCCATTTTAAGAAAAGATGTATATCTATTTTTAAGTTTCCAAGCAATTGTATTATTTCACTTTATGTATTAGATCATTTTTTTTTTTAGGAAAGCAACTGCGCAAGCGGCGGCGGACGAAGTGGAAGCGAGAATGTCGACTTGAGTAACGCAAACATTGGTGAGAATTCAATAACTCAAACGACCCTAGAGCACACTGAAAAATCTTTTGTTAAAAAGGCCGGAGGACACAGTATCAAACAAAGATTCTGAAAATTTTAAACCTAATTTCACAGAGCATATATATCTAATAGATATTGATAATATAATAGTCCCCTGTCCCCATCATTCACAGTTCACTGTTGGACAATTCATCAACTATAATGCTAACTACTTATATAGTGAGACAGCAGCTCAGCATGTGGAGTAAGCTATAAAGAAATAAATGTCTTTGCGTACAGAAATACAGAAGAGACTCATGTTTTTTATCCGTGCTTTTACCAATATTTAGTCTTTGCTGAAGAGATTTGAGTTTGTTCAGTGTTTGGCCGATGATGTAGTCTCGTCTTTGAGCGATGATTCTATGGTCTCATCTTTCAGAGGTTACTCTATGTGGTCTCATCCTCTAGCGATGATGTTGTGTGGCCTCGCTCATCAGCGAAGATCGATGTGTGCCCTGGTATAGGTTTTGTTGCATATATCGGTCTTTTGACAAATTTGTACTGGTGCACTTGTGCTTGTGGTAGTTGTTTTAGGGATTTTTAATTAATCGCTTGTTTGTGCAAATTCACTACAGATCAATGTGTTGATTACTGAAACAATATACCAAATTGACACCCTAAGTTTTAAGTCTCATGAACACTTGATTGGAAGTGGAAAGAATATCCACCAATGCACCAACCACATTCCAACAGTGGGCGAGATGAGCTTTCATTTTACCTCACTGGGTCACTTTTAGGCGTGAAGAAAATGACATTCTACCGGACACTATCCATAATCCATCCCTCCTCTTGCTTATAACCACTCCCAAGTCTTTCCCCCACGGAAGGAAAGTTCACCTCTCCGGCTCTCATACGCTTTTCGGATGGAGGGCCTCATACCCTTCGTTTACAGGGCGATACTTCGGTATAAGGCCGGTGGGCAACTGACCATGGAAGACTCCTGGTACAGCAAATTGCCTGTCGTGCCATACATAACAAGTCCGGCAGATTCTGCAAGCTCCGATCGAGCGGAAATCCAACTCCGTCTGTCCGAATGTCTCTTGTCTTCTACCTCGGCCATGAGTCCTCCCCCGAGCTTCCGACCCATTGCCTCTTCTGGGATCCAGTTCCCTGTTTGCGCTTCTTCCTCCAGCACACTCATATCCTAACAAGAAATCGGCACCTGGTGCTTACAGAATAACTAAGAAAAATGTTGATAGCATGAGCCTATTGTGAAAAAATAATGATACGCTATTGAGTTTCTTGTATTCTCCTTTTTTTGCATGGAATGTTTGTTCACTAATGCAAGAATTGTGTACGAAACTCGAACCCTCGATTTTATTCAGCAGAAGCAACAATTTTCGTTGCAGCGTAAACCTAAATTCTCCAGGCATATCTCCAAAATGTTTCAAAGACAATCAAAATTTTCAGGCATACCAATTTTTAAGCTGAAAGCAACTAATATTAATTACTCATTTAGTACTCTTACAAGCAAGAGCAACAAAATCCTGAACATAGGTTTAAACAAAGCATCTGAACAGAACATTATAGGACCAAAACCCTGCAAGACATTCCTAATGTGAATATCTTTATGGAAAACTCTAATTTGTCCTCGGTGTGGCCCATTCAACCCTGAGGATGAGATTGTCATAACCGTACCCGTTCAGTTTGTTGATTGCTCTCTGGGCATCTTCCCTGTTCACAAAGTTGACGAAACCAAATCCTCTGCTAACGGAAGTATTCTTATCCAAAGCAACGTAAACACGGCTAACAGCACCAAAAGGCCGGAAAAGTTCAAGCAAGTCAGGCTCACGAGTGTCCTCTGAAAGGTTGGTGACACGAACAGAGTTCTCATCATTCCTTCGTCTCATATCACTTCCAACTCTGTCTCCACCTCCTCTCTGGACTGGAGGAACATACTTACCTGTGCTAGGAGTTCCAGGCACTGCTTCTGTTGTAGGAGGTTTATCAATAAATCCTTCAGTCGGTGGGGCGAGATCCTTATACGGGCAATGTGAAGTCCAGTGATCACCCTTCTTACCACAAGTCCTACAAAGTTTGAGAGCAGCCCCTCCTTTTGTGAGTTGAGACAGAGGGTCTCCTCCAGCCTTTGGTTCTTCTGCTTTGCTACCTGTTCACAGTCATATACAGAAAATAATAATCAGAAAACCCAACATACCAATTACCATGACCAATTGGCATCGATCGATAACAAATAAATCTATTCTATATCAAGAGAAAATCAAACAAATCTCTGACAAAAGACATAACAGAGAAGCCGCAGATGCAATGCAATATATGAGGGCAACAACAAATAGTTCCTCTATTTTACTCCATGTTAACAATGCATCATCCACAAAACAAAATCACATGGCTAGTGAAGGTAACTTCAAAAATCAAACTGATCCAACAAATTTGAACTACATCATATCCGAGAAAGTAACCATAATAACAGTAGGCCACTTGACTAAAACAACCTTTAACCTCTCCACAAACCTAATTAGGGGATTTGAGCACGGAACCAGATGACGTTATAAGATTTCAACTAAACATACTCACAATCTCGGGTTAGAAATCTACATCGTATAACTAGACATACACGCATGTCCGTATGAAGTTATAAGATTTAAACCAATCCCGGTGGTCAGCTAGACAGTCTACGGACTCATGTACCAAGCCAGCATTTGTTCATTTAAACATAGAAATTGCCTCAAACAGACATTTCCATTAAACAAGATAAAAGCAAGGGAAATAAAACGAAAATGCGTAGTAATGGTTAGGTTATTCGTATCGACCATTTAAAATTCCACTCTCTCCTTCCTCCAAACAACAAAATAAAACAAATTCAATTCAATTTTAGCTTCATTTATTCCAATTGCAAAAATTTATTTAGTCAAATTTTAATCTAAAGGATTAATAGATGTCTATCCCAAATACCAACAGAGAAATATATGACCAAAATCTCATGGGAAATATTCCAAATTAGCCAAATGTAGTTCTTCACACAAATTCCATATAATCTTCCTCAAAATCCGAAATTAAAAACCCTAATACCGAAAACCTGAAAAGAAGAATTCAAAAGCTTACCAGGAGCCCTGGGGCGCTCGAGGAAGATCTCTTCGGTGGAGACCATGGTGAGCCTAGCACCGACGTCCTCGTGCACGGCGTCGCCGAACTTGGGCCAGGAGCGGCGCTCCACGGCCCGCTTACTGAGCCGGGCCTGGGCGAGTCTCCGAACCCGGGTAATGGTCGTGATCTTGACCTTATTTCCATCCTCGTTGAACTTGTATTCGATCACCCTCTTGATCCCGTCCTCGTCGGGCCCAATCACCTGCCTCGGCGGCA